TTGGCCAACTGCCTTTGGCTTTAGATAAACGTGTTTTTCCCCAGTCTCCTCCATGAGTTCGAGATTTTTACTAGCCATCCATTTGCCATTGCTATGGCAACTAAGCTACTGATATAAACTTCTGCTCACAGCGTTTTAATTAAATAGGAAAAATATGGACATTATGATGAAGTTTGTTTTTACTTTCTATACATAAGTTTTACAACTTACACCCAAATAACACACAGCATGTAGCTTTAAAATATTTCACAAATTCGAGAAATGCAAGCATGCATTAAAACGAAACATGAGCATAAAACTAAAGTTTTTTAATGTTCCGCAACGAAAAATGTGAATAGTTGAGGTTTTAGGGGGAATTTTGTAGCTAGCCATTAGTCGAAATACCAAATGGATTTTTACAGCTTCTTACAAATTTCAACGCCGTTGCACTATCATAAAAAAGGTACAAGTGCCTAATTCTATATTGGCAGGCTATGCAAATTTGTATCTGATCAATTGCCCATTTTTATGAATTTTTTCAGTTTACGGTAATCCCTCCACTTGCTGCAACTGAAGCTGCTCGACTCCTAATTGGCCAATTACAATTGCAAGTCGAAGAATAGCTTTCTGCCAAGTCAACCAGCACTGTTTTCCGTAAAGACCACAGAATCCGTAATCGATTTCCTTTTCTATTTTGCAACTTCCCATCGAGAAGGACGCTTCAAAATTTTGTAAATAACTCTTGTTGGTTGCTGTCCGGATCGTTTTGCTGCATCGTAACTTGCCTGTTTAAAGTTTGCTTTCGTCAAGTTGATAAATATTTAATCGTGATGGTTGGTTGGGGCAGAAGTGCAGAAATATAGATAGATGCTATCCAATTAATATTAAATGGAAATACAGGCAAGCATCAGCCTAGAATTTGTCATATCAAAACAGCAAAGCTGTATGTAGTTTATGTAGGAACACTACGACTTGGATGTGCGCAAAAATAAAATTACTTTCCTCAATGCTAGCTTATTTCTTTGGAAAATGTTGGCAACCTTGGGGAAAACCCGTTGGAAGAGTTGGAAGAGATTGTGATCCATAAAAAGCTTTTATCTTGAATAGATGCAGATTCCCTGCAACTCAGTTTGGTAAGCCAAAGCATTACGGAAGTTAAATGTGCAACCTGCCTACGCTCTTATCGGTTCAGGAGGTCAGTACAGTCCGCGACATCGCTGACAGGCTGGCACGCACACTGGCAACGTGACAAATTTTTCACTTTTCCCATTTCTAGACATCTTCAGTTGTTCTCGCAGTTGTTGACAGCCGCGTTCTTCAATTTATATAAGACTAATTAGAAACGAGTGCTTGGGTTTCAACTGGACCGGTATTTAATTGGATGGCCGTTCCACACGCATATGTACACGTTCGCCCGCTGTTATATATACATATATCTTTATCCTCTTGTCAGGATGATTTTCAGCGGCCAGACAGCAGGACATTCGTGGGCAGAGAGACACATTCTCTGGACGAATGTTTTTTGCACTTACAGCAGTTTAAGTTACAGATAATTCAATTAATTACACGCTGGGCGACCTCGACAGCATCGCTAGCCATCGACAGACAGTCGCTGAATTAATTCATTTCCCTGCCATTCCAGTTCACTTTTGCTGGCTCGAATACATAGTAGTTAGTGGCTAATTAAAACTTTTGTGGTCGCACGAATTTTCCATAAAATTTATTTTTAAAACTTGTGGAAAATTTTCTCAATTGAAAGTTATTTTACCGAATGAGAAGTGCCTCTACTGGTGGGTTTGCAAATACATATGCATCCTGCCAAACTTTGCAAAAAGCTGATCTTTTGCGCAAGCTACACTATAGTTGCTTTTTCTGTCAATCTTTATTCACTGGTAAGCAACAGCTGTGTAATAATTTTGTTCTCTTAAACTGCATATTTGGAATGTTACAAAACACCTGGGAAATGTGATTTTCCAGAAAATTCTAAGCTCGATTGTGTTTCAAGCGAAACTGCAGTTACCGATTTGCGGCAAATTGCAACCATGCAGGACAGACTGTACCCCACTCGATACAGTAATCATGTAAATTTCCCCCTTTTGCGCAATTGAAGGCGACCTTTATTTATGGCGACGCGCCAATTAAATCGCCGTTGATTGGAAAGCAGTAATGTGCAAGCGAAAAACATCCAAAGACACAAAAACAAAAGTCCGGCGGTATTTAAATCCAGAGCAACAAGTTGGCGGACAGAGTCTGACATTAAACCCTAACTAGAGCACTGGATGTGGATGTGGATGTGGATGTGGATGTGGATGTGGTGCAGGTGGAGGCGGTTTGGTAACCACGATGGTGGGTTACACGTTATGAGGCACCAGTTAATATGCAGCACCACCTGACTGACTGACTAAACCACATTGCATTGGCTGAATACTGAATCTCGAATGCGCATATTATTATCCAGCGGAATTAGTCAATAAGCTGTGGTTGCCACCACCTTCGCTGGATGTTTATTGTTTCTGCTTCTGGCACTGTTTCTATGCCGGAATTATGAGAACGGCAATTTCAGGGCTCCCCCTAAATCGGCACTAATTAGACCTTTTCCATGCCAGAGCCCAATCAATTATGAAATTTCCGCGAGCACAGTGTGCACCAATTAGGAACTCGCTCTAATGAGCGCAAAGGACCATTTGCGTAAATGGCCGAAGAAAAGCAAAACCAAGCAAGTAATTCGAGCATCGAAATCTCCATTCACTTGTAATTTTCCGAAATTCGGATTTTCAAGCTGATCAAGTTTACAAACTACGTAAACTTTAAAGACTAATGCCATTTGCCTTTAAAAGCCCAAAAATTTGATTATAATTTCGCTACGACTCATCTTGTAAACTAAACTCAAGCTTGCAAAAATCGTTGCTAGTTGCCATGCAACTTTCAGATATGTTAGGCATGAAATGGATTTAAAAATATTTTTGTAGATCGGGTTGTAGATACTTGGCACACGTGTGCGGGTGAGCACCCAAAGACTCCGTGTTCCCAAAATAGCCCTTTCCGGGATATTATTTGTTTTATTTGCGCGGAGAGGCGGAGAAAAAGAAGAAGGCCAATTCAACCCAATACAATCCAATCCAAACAAATCCCTTCATTTCGGACCCAGCCGAACGCAACTCACCTCGTGGGCCTTTGGATGCTGGTGCTGGCAGTTGTGAGCGTTGGCCGAAAGAAGGAGCCAAGAGCAGACGCCGAGGGCTGCCAGGAATTTGGCCATCTTAGTGAGGGGGCGGGGCGGGGGCGTTTGGCCGTGGTGTTTCACTTCGGGGTGGAATATCGTTGTGGGATATTATAGAGTTTTCAGCATTGTAATGGCGATCCTTTCATTCCCCGGTTGAATATGATTTTTATTTAATTATCACTTGATTTTCGAACACGCATATCTGCACTTAAAGTTCTTTGTTTATTTTCCTCTTTGTTTGCGTTTGTTTGCTGGCTTTTCGCCGTTTGCTTTGTCAATTAACTCGCGAAAACCGGCTCGATTCGAATCCCTTTCCTCTCACTCGCACACATAAACAACTCGCACACACACACCCACACACACACAGTGACACTCAATTATTGGGGCCTTTGGACTACTTTTTGTTTTTGTTTTCGGGTGGGTGTGTCCGCTAATCTCAGCCCACGCCAAACAAAAAAATGCATGAAAGGCAAACTACAAACTGCAGTTAGCCGCAAAAGCAGGAACACACTAGCACTTAAATGTCAAATTCTCATGAACTGTCCGTGCAGCGAGAGCATTCTGTAGGACTCACTGCCAGTCCCGACACAGTGGGCGCTCAATAGGCGCATTTGCCGAGCCTTTTCATTCAGCAAAATCATAAAAACACTCGCGCGAAAGGGGGGCGTTTCAGTACCGGCGGGGGTGGTTGACACGAACAACAATCACAGCGACGCGTCCGACACCGACGTTAACGTTTGACAGCCGATTTTGTTTTGAATCGAGGGTCTATATATAATATGACGATGTGTGACCAGATGCCCTTTCGCCAATAATCTTGTTTTTAAGTGCTGCTTAAGCGGCTGGTCACACTAAAAAGTTAACAGAAATGTTAATACCAATGTTGGCGTGTTATGTTAACGTGCAAGTCTATATAAGAGGTGTGCACAAAGAAATACAAAATATACCAGGAACGCTACTAACAGATTAATTTATACTTTCAAAAAGACCCGCCCCCTAATTACTACAGAAAATTAAATAATATCGATATATATATCGGCGATATATCGATTATATCGAAGCAGCAATGGTATCGTTGCTGACATTGATCATTGCCCATCTCTACTGCACGCGCGATTTGTTTACAACCGCGACTTTGAATAGTAATATAACTTAAACGTGATACCGTGAAAATAAGGTCTAAAAATGGATGAAGTCCTCGAGACGATGGAGCTGCAGAACATGCAGTGCGATGTGTGCGAGGGCACGGCCTTCCAGGAGCGCGTGGGATTCTACTACTGCGTGGAGTGCGGCACACAGAAGGACCAGATTCGCGCAGTGGACATCACCGCCGAGGATAACTTCGATGAAACGGGAGCCGGGCGCTACACAGCCAGGACAATCCGCCAGCGGAAGGATGCGGAGAAGGAGGATGAGGGCGACATCACCTCGTGGGAGTTCTACAACTACGTGCTGCGCGGCTTCCTCCAGGAGCTGCTCAACATGGGCGCCAAGCCGGAGCTCAAGCTGATGGCCCTGCAGGTTTGGGCGGCGTACTTGGGCAGCATGGAGGTGGCCTTCAGCAAGAGCAACAAGACGGGACTGCCCAAATTGAATGTGCGTGCGTTGCCCAGGTGAGTTCAGGCACTTCCCTATAATTTCTTATCCTTCAAATTTCTAATTCTTCCAGAGACGCGCGCATCCTCTACAACCATAAGTCATTTAAGAAAGGCAAGAAGGGCAAAAGAAGCACTTTAACAGGTGACCCAAATGACGAGCGAGCCAAGTTCAGATTGTGGAACAGGACTAAGGTACTTTATTAGCCGCTTGTAGTCGGTATATAGAACTGGTTAGGGAACAGCAGCGGCAGCAGCAGGAAAAGGGTCCGCTGGTAGGCATTATACATGGGCTGTTCTGAATTTATCTCCTGTACGGGCTTATCTGTGGTAAATGAAAAGGAAACAAAAATGTGAAAAGTCACATTTTAGATTATTTTAATCACTTACTTTCAATGACTTCTGGAGCTCCTGGAACAGGTTGTCCGTAGGCCAATGCCAGGATGGCCAAACCAATTAGAACCAGACGCATGGACATATGTGCAACGAGTTACTTTGCCAAACTGCTGCTGACTTGACCACGTTCGTCTTTTATAGCTCCACAAGCTATGTAAATGACATAATTATCCAACTTAGTACTGTTTACCCAGATGCGACTCTAACGCCTTGCTCCCATTCCTATTCCAGCGCAATCTAGACGCCTCCGGCTACCGTACGCACGGAGGACCTTCAGAGTCCGAAGGCGAGCAAAGTCTCCACCTGCAGTGGTCATTGCGCGCCCGCAAGTTACTGAAGCGCCAGATGCCGCTGAAGCACCTGGACAAGCACAGCCGTGACAGCAAGGGTAGTATGTCGTGCCACAGCTTGAGACCGAGGGTCAAGCAGCTGCACTCTTTTGACCGCAACATCTACTGCCTGAATATTATAAAGTTGTATGTAGTGCTGGGCATAGCCCTTAATATGGTGGAGGATGATATACAGCTCTCGGACCTGGTGCGGTTCATTGATGAGGAGCATTTGACCAAGCGGTACATGCTTAATTATCTGCCCGAAAATGTGGCGGTCAAGGGCAAGGCACTCCTTAAAGATTTGGAGCTCAGCAAAATCAAAGACAAGGTTACCAACAAGGTGACTATAATCCATCAATTTCTTAAGATAGTATTTATTCAAATAATAATAATCTTTAATTTTCCCACAGCTTCTGCGTTTAAACATCGGATATATGTCCCGATTCATTAACCTGTCTGAATTCCAAAAACCGAATCTGCATTCCCTGGCGGAGCGCTACATTCTGGAGTTGGGATTGCCACCTCGTCTACTGAAGTTCGTGGGTAGCCTGATTGACCTGTATCCCCCAACTTTCCTAAACGCCGTAACCATACACTCGTATCCGCGCTGCGAGGCAAGAACTATGGCGTACATCGTCTACGCCATGAAGTTACTTTTCGGCTTGGATGATCTCAAGGAGCGGAATATATCCGAATCGGCTGCAAAAATGAACACACAACTGCTGGAAATCGGCGGAGATGAGGCTCCCTTGCTCTTCGTTTTTACCGAGTGGATGCACTTTGTGGAGATAAGGAAGGTGATTGTCTCACATTACAACCAGAGTTTTGCCCGTCGCTTCGGGGTAGCCACACAGACTGGTTGTCAAGTGGATGACATCCTGGCAAAAGAGTGGAAAGAGAAGGAGCAAGGCGAAAACTTCGGCTGGATGCAGGGATCGGCGGCAATGCAGCGTCAGCACGAAAACCTGACACACATTATTGAAACGATGTTCAAGGACCATTTTGGCGAGTCGAGCAAAGAATGTATGGAGAAAGAGCGCATTGATTTCCAGCCCAGCTTAACTCCGGCTCACTCCTACTTCAACAGAATCCTACTGCAAGCAACGCGGTCTGATGGTGCGAAAATGAGCATCAAAATTCCAGACCAAATGAATGTGAATCACTCGGTGCGGGACCTGGATCCCTTTGTGCTGGAGACTACCGAACTGTCTCAATATTTGTCCCAGCATGGCCTAAAACTACGAGTGGAGGAGCTTGCCTGCCAGGAGAATATCCAAAAAGTGGGCGTATTCCGTCCACTCATACAAATCCGAGGTGACATCCGAGAATACCGTGCCAACACTGACATTAAAACCGAGACGTGGATCAGCGAGCTAAAGAAGAAGGAGAAACGGCCTGACTTTCGGTTCACACAGCCCACTGGAACCTATGGAGCCCGCTATCTGAAACGAATAACAATGCATAATGCAAGGCGTGAGAAACTTGAGTTAAATAATCCTTTTTGGCACATCACCGAGACGCCTAGCTTTCTTCTCAAACTTAACGATACCGAGGTACCACTTGACAGCCTGAGCTCCCTGCAAACCTTCGAGGAAGGTACCATGGATCCCTTGAGCATCCCTCTAGATCAGCCCCGTCGCAATCTGGAAAGAAAGGTGAATCCGGAAGGGTCTGATAGAGCATCAGACCAGGGAGCAGAGGACATAAATGAAGAGCCACCAAGCCCTGATGAGCTGGTATTGCAAGTGTCCAACTTTGATTGCTGGCTGCTGCACGGCTATATGAGGAAGATACGGCAGCACGACAAGCAGAAACTGCGTCAGTTGTTCCCCTGTTCCTTCCGTTGGCTCTTGGAGACCTGTGCCAGCACAATCGGCATAGTTTGGGAAGAGCTCTATGAGGAACTGCTCATCATCGAAGTGATGTACCATCACAGCATCAGGGACTGGAGCAATCACAGGGATTTTCTGTGCATTCAACACAATACTCAGGAGAAGGACATCCGAACACTGGCCAGGACGTACAAGGAGTTCTGGTAGTATTTCAATACATTTAAGGAAATTGCTTAAACAAATAGGAAGTTTAGAAGTAGCAACCATTAAAGATGCCATCTGGAATAAAAGTAAGATTCCTTTATAAACGTATTGCTTTACCTCAATCAAATAATAAGTTTTCTTATTGTACATGTAACCTGTAGGAATCATTCCACAATTATTGCGATGCAAAGAAATCTGTTGGTAAGCAGCAAAACGTAAAAACTTGACACTCCCACTGCGTCAACAACTTAAGTCCAGGAAATAATGATTTACACCTATCGAGAGCAATAAATTCATTAAACCATAATATTCATTGCCTCCCCATGTTTTCGTATACCCAAAAGTATAAATGTATAAATGCAAACGGTGTTTTAAGAGATAGTGCTATGGTCTTGGCCGCGACTGTGTGAGCGAAGGCACATTAACATCAATATCAATAGGCAAATTAGCGTTTATCAGAACAACAACAATCACATTAGCAGCAACAATGCGTGTCGCGGTTTTGTTTACAAAAATCTTCTTCAAAAGAGAGCGCCGGCCCACGGTCACCGCCAACTGATGAGAGCAAAAAAGAGCGAGAGAGTGCTTGGGGAAACAGTGGTGCGCGTTTAGCTTGTTTTTCGAAGTTATTTATGCATTTACTGTACCAAAAGGAATAAAAGCAAGGTTATATAAATAAATTTAACAAAATATAAAACAATTTAAAATACGTGCAATTCTGATTCATCGTTCAAAGTTTGGTATTTTAAGAATCTCCTAGGTATCATTTAAAGGCCTGGAAGAACCTAAAGCTAGTCCCAGCTTAGTTTTATAAATAACAGACATCCTAGCTTAATAATCCACCCAAAGAGGTAATGAGAAATGGCCTGATGTATATTTAAGGGATCTCACCTATATCTGTAGCTATATCTAGCTAGAAAAGAGAGCACCTCCGCCGGGGAGCAGCGAGAGTGGGCAAAGAAATCATAGGCGCGCATTCGCACGTCGCGTTTCAGTGCTAATTTTAACGTCGTCGCCGACTGTTTCGCCTTATTGCCATTGCCCTGCTGCGGTTTCAGTTTCCCATTTTCCACTTTTCCACTGGCCGCGCGCAGCGAGTTCGAATTCAATTTAAATTAGTTCACATTGTGCCTTTGTACGCCTTTTTGCCCGTCCATTGCTGCTGTGTGATAACCAGAAACCAAAGTGCCAAAGAAGTGCAGTGCAATCGGATGTGTGGACAGGAATTTTCACCGTTGCAACGCGACTTGAAGAGAGGCGATCTGCGTGTGATGAAAGTGAAGAGCCCACAGCAATAGGAACCGAAAATAGAAAAGAAATTCAAAATCAGAGTTCAAAAATAGCCCAGTGCATGGCAAATTATGAGATATCTAAAGACTGTCAATTAAAATAGCACTGTTGTGCCTGTGATTTGTGCGATATCTGCTGTTTTTCGTTTCGTTTTGTAGAAGCCTGCTGGTGAGTTGGTTTTGGGTTTTGGAAATGTTTTCATATTAATATGCGTGTGGTTACCAGTCAAATGGTACGTACGTATATGGAAAGACAGCTGTTTCAATACCGCCGAAAGTATAGTAGTGCTGCAAATTTCAAGAGTTAAGCTGGCTGGCTGGCTGGCTGTTACGTCAACCTTTTGCTATACCATACCATTGGAATCTCCAGTTTCTGTAGGCTAAACCCCCCCGCCAAAATGCCGCCCGATCTGAGCCAAAGCCTCACTGGTTGACGTTCTTGGCGGTTTTTGAGGTTAACAACATTTTCAGGCCGCTTTGTTGCGCTCTGAGCCAAACAATAAACAACTATTGACTCGCACTGGCCATGTTTAGCGAACCGACTTACAAACAATTAATAGCTACTATTTTGTCACTTGCTGACTTTTATGCCAAAATATTTGCCTAAGCTGTTCGCATTAGCAAATCGAACAAATTGCTCAAAACGAAAAATAAAAAAATCTACGAAAAAGTAAGAAAACAACCATATAGCACGCGCATTTATCTTGATTCCGATTCCATGTGACTCAATCATTATTTGTGCGCTTATAATTTGTTTTCCCAACTGAAGTTCCCCTTACTCCATTGGGTCCTGTTCTCGCGGATTCTACATTGGTACAGTGGTCCACAAAATTGGTCGACTAAAGATCGTGAAAAATGGCTTCTCTGAATTCCGGATAGATTTGCCTTCTAATAGAACCAGAATTTCATAGTAAAACTAACATATTCGATTTGATAAACGACACAGACTTACTTTGTTTACTTGAACTTGCACAAAAGTGGTAATAAATTGGTGACCATAGGGTCAAGACCAGGTTTTAATGACAGCGAGAAAAGGGTAAATCAGCACCTGGTTCTACAGCAATTTACTTGCCACCCCAAGTGTATACTTATATCATGTAGTAATTTACAGAATATCAACACTTTTCCATGTGGCGTTGCGCTCAAAATTTCTGGATTTCATCAGTGAAGTGTTTGTCTTTGTACGAACGCCCACTGTATGAGGAATATAATATGAGATTGGTGTTTGTCAAATGCTAATTAGTTCCATTATATCTGCCAGCCACAAGTGCAGTGGGGTGAAGTTTGGGGCCGTGAAGTGTATTAATTGGATGGGCCGGAACAGCTTGATAAGCACAATATTGCTTGCCACAGATCTCGTCGGACATATGGTAGTAATCACGTCTGTCCGTCGAAATGTTTATCAATCCCACCCTCTTCCCAAAA